AGGGTATGGGTTGTACTATTTGTAGCCCTAAATTATTTTTATTTGTAGCCCTAAATTATAAAAAGTACAATAATACCCATAACATTTAAATACATTTACTTCACACATTCCAAGACCAAAACATTCAAACACTTTTCCAAACACAATCCAACAACACTCGCCGCCGGCGACCGCCACCTCCCGCCGGCGACCGCCACCCCCGCCGGCGACCGCCACCTCCGACGACGACAACTCCTTTCTCCGACGAGGTACGTCGGCAAATAACCCGACAACGACGGACGAACGTCCGGCCGGGACGTCGCCGGCGACGGACGAACGTCCTGCCGGGACGTCGCCGGCGAATTATTTTATTTTTAATTTTTTGTTAATTTAAATTTGTGAAGTATATTAGATTTTTAAAATATATTAATTTAGATTTTCGGTTATTATTTTAAATTTTTTAATTATCATATTGTTTAGAAAAATTTGTTCTAATATTATTTTTAAAATGAAGTTATTGAATTTTTATTTTTCATATTTCGAAACTAAGTTAATGTTTCCTGAATTTAGACTTTTAATTGCCATATTTTAAGAATATGTAGTGTTTTTATTATTGTAATTTATTATTTTATGAATATTGTAATTACCATATTTTTAGTAGGATTTTTTATAATATTATTTGTAGAATGAAGTTCTTTAACTTCATTTTTTATTATTTTGAAACTAAGTTAATGTTTACTAACAATAATTTAGACTTTGAAGAATATTTAGCGATTTTATTGTAGTTTATTATTTTATGATATTGTAATTATCATATTTTTTAGGATGGATTTGCTATAATATTATTTTTAGAATGAATTTCTTGAATTTCATTTTTTTTATATTTTGAAACTATGTTAGTATTACTGAAACTATTTTTTTTGTATGTATTTCTTGAAGTTGGTCAAGTTCGGACTTCCGGATATCACTACATCAGATAATGAGTAACACGGTTAGTGAGTTAAACTTTTTAATTTTGGAATCATGTTGAATTATTTATTGTTATGATGAAGTCTAGTAATTGATAATATGCTTAAATATTTGCTTTACAATGATACATATTGTTTGAAAAATGTTGAATTATTGATTTTACTATCTTGTTGATAATTTAATTAGTACGTGTCTACTTGTTGCATGTTGAAATATTAGGATTTGGTAGTTAATCATGTTAAATGTGCTAATTTTTTATTGAAAATGTATTGGATTAGTTAATGTTCAAATATTGAATAATTGTTAACAACGTTGTGTTGTTGATAATTTAATGAGTACGTGTCTACTTGTTAAAAACTTTTTATTGCATATTGAAATATTAGGATTTGGTAGTTAATCATGCTAAATGTGCTAATTTTTTGTTGAAAATGTATTGGATTAGTTTATGTTCGAATATTGAATAATTGTTAATAACTTGTTTAATATTTTTTAATAAGAAGATAAATATAAAATCTAATATTGCAAACAAGTCATCAAATTTTCTAAAACTTATATAAGACTCAATACATTTTCAAATTGTAAGAATTCAATTTACAACAAACATTACAAGTCATGAAAAGTGTTGAAACTTATGTAAGACTCAATCTATATCAAATTGGAATAATTTAATCTACAACAAACATTTCAAAATTAGTATCACTAATAAGATAAATGTGTTTATTTTAGGGAGATCCGGAAGATAAAGGAGACAAAGTTGATTATACTCAATTTTTCATAACAAATACAAGATATAAGTCATGGAATGAAGCTATGGAAGGTGCGAAAGTGATTGCAAAAGATCTTGGGTTCTTTTTGACACATTCATCAACCAAATCAAATGATGGCGAGAAGTACCCCCGAATATATCTTCACTGCCATCGTGGATATAAGAACAATACATATGTCCCAGATCCGGATAAGAAAGGACGATCCAACACAAAGTCACTTAAAGATGGTTGTCGTTTTCGAGTGAGACTGGTGGGACTCCCGGAGGAAAAGACTTGGATGATTGATGGTGTGAAGGACAATCACAATCCGGGACAATTTTGTGGGTTTCACAACCATGCATTAGAGCTTTATCCCGAAGGCCACACTCAGAGGAATGCTTTTACTAATGAAGAGCTAAAGGATATGAAGGAGATGGAATGGGCTCGTGTTGCTCCTCGAAAAATGATGCAAACTATCAACCAAAACTATGGTACTCACCATAACAAACGACAATTTTACAACATGACAGCAAATATAAGGATTGAGAGATTGAGTGGCATGACCCCTTCGGATTGGACGTTACACCATGCGAGAGAGATGGGGTACTACATTGGCTACAAGCGTGATGATGATCGCCACCTTACTCACCTTTTTCTTGCTCACCCTGAGTCCGTTCGGATGTTGAGTGCTTGGTACCATGTAATCTTGATTGATTCCACATACAAGACGAACAAATATAAGAGGCCCCTGGTTGAGGTTATTGGTGTTACCCCCGTCAAGAGGAACTTCAACATTGGATTTGCTATGATGGAGGGGGAAACCACAGATTCTTATGTTTGGCTTTTGAGAGAGTTACAGAACATGCTTGGAGATCGCATACCGAATGCAATTCTAACTGACAAGGAGGGAGGATTGGTTGCCGCTATCCCTCAGGTCTTCACGAAATCGGCCCACTTGTTGTGTATATGGCACATAAAGCGGAACATTGAAGCTAAGATGATGGATTTGGGGATACCACAAGAAGTTGCTCGAGGAGTGGTACATGGTTCTTGGAAGAAGGTGATGGAAGCCACCACGCCACATGCCATGATTGAGGAATGGGAAAATTTCAAAAATGGATTTTGGGGGAGGAATAGTAAGTTGATAGAATACTTGGATCGTGAGTGCTTGGAGCATAAAGAGAAGTGGGCTTGTGCTTACACTAACAATATTTTTCATATTGGTAACACAAGTACGAATAGGGTTGAATCGGCTCACTCGACTCTTAAAGCTTGGTTAAACACTTCGACTGGGGGAGTTGATACATTATTTTTATCATGGCATGCTAGCATTGGGGGGCAAGTGATCGAAATTAGGAAAGAGCTAGAGACATGTCGAACAAAGACATTCAAAGGAGCCTATGGACCACCCTACGGCGTTATAAGGGGAAGTGTAAGCCTATATGCGCTTGAGTTGATGTTTGTAGAGGGAAAGAAGACTCCTTCGGAATGTGATTGTGTGATTGGGAGGACACATGGGCTCCCATGCAGTTGTCGAATCAACTCCTTTAAAGGAGCGGGAGACCATTTCAGATAACACACTTGGCACCATTCTGGTCTACTTTGGACTATGCTAACCCTCATGATGCAAGACGGTTCGAAGACAATGACGCCAATGATCTTCAGATTTTTCATGATCTAGTGGCTGAGGTGTGTAGACGTGGTCCATCTGCAGTTCGAGCAGCCAAGGTCGCATTAATGAGTCAGCTTTACCCCGAAGAGGAAGGCCTTAGGGAGCCACGAGTGTCTACGAAGGGAAAAGGTCGGCCACCTAAAAGGGAAAACGCTCGTGATCCTTCTTGGCATGAGCATGCTGCCGCACGTCAAGGTAGAAGGAGCACAAGGAGGAAGACATCAACCTCAGATGTTACAGGTTTGTATTGAATAATTTGAGTTGTTTTGTTAAATTCATTGATATTCAATAAGTATGTTTAATATGCCAATAAGCTAATTACAATAAAATTTTCACTAACAGGTGCCCCGAAGGATGCTACCATCCACAAAAAGAGAAAAGCAACAACCTCAGAGGATACATGTTTGTATTGAATAATTTGAGTTGTTTTGTTAAATTCATTGATATTCAATAAATATTTTTAATATGCCAATAAGCTAATTACAACAAAATTTTCACTAACAGGTGCCCCGAAGGATGCTACCATCCATAAAAAGAGAAAAGCAACAACCTCAGATGTTACAAGTTTGTATTGAATAATTTGAGTTGTTTTGTTAAATTCATTGATATTCAATAAGTATGTTTAATATGCCAATAAGATAACTAAAAAAAACTACATCCACAGGTGGCCCGAAAAGGGATCCCATGACCAAGATTGATGGAGTGAATGTTTTTCCTTACTTTCGCTTCGTCCCAGAAAGTGTCAGAGATCGATGTCTTGGTTGGTGGGACCCTGCTCCTGATGGACATTGCGGATTTCGAGCTCTTTCACATGCACTTCATGGAGATGAGGATCACCACTTGTGGGTGAGAAAGGCTATTATAGATGAATTCATGTCGATCCAACAATGTGAGTACGCATATGAAGATGTGGGTCTTGCTCTTACACGATTACAGTGGAACAAGCCAGAGGGTACTACAATGGATCATTGGATGACTGAGTCGGATCTCGCCGTAGTTGCAACATTATTTAACTGGGCCATAATCCTCTACAGTCAAATAGACGAAACCAAAGATGGGGTGAGGAGACGTGTTCCATTTGGACAAACCTTTTTACCTATGATAGCCAAGCCAGGGGTAGCTCGCCCTAGCAATGTGTTGGTGTTGTGTAACACCGGCAACCATTGGGTGCGCCTTGACTTTGAGGAGGATTCAATACCAATGCCTCCATTCACCTTCCTGTGGACCCATTTCCGTGACAAAATGAGTACTCAAGGGTGGGAGGAGTTGTTCAAGGACGAGCGAGATCTTTACTTCGCACTTGGGGGTCATCATGACTAGTAGGAGATATTTGTAGTAGTATTGGTATATAACGACAATAGTTGTAAATAAGGAGTATTTTGTAACTCATGTTATCTTTATATTTGTAGTCTTTGGTAAACATAGTTTTAAATTAAAACTACCATAGTTCTAAACATACAAATAAAGTATCAAATGAACGACACTAGTACTCAAACAACAAATAAGCAACATAGTTCTCAAACTACAAATAAACGACATAGTCCTCCAACAACAAATAAACGATTTAGTTCTCAAACTAGAAATAAACGACATAGTTCTCAAACACCAAATTAACGACATAGTTCTCAAACACCAAATTAACGACATAGTTCTCCAAATAGAAATAAACTACATAGTACTCAAACTACATGAACAACACTAGTACTGAGGTGGAGGCTGGTATGGAGTCGCCTCGTCGTACTCTTTAAGCAACCCTTGTAATCCAAGAAGAAGATCAAGGTGGTCATCATAAGGGTGCTCAATCACAGTGCGAAACTCTCGGACGAGCTTCACAGCTAACTGTATAAAAATGTAAATGTTAGTATGTTATTCGATAACTAATGCAATATTTAAACTTGTACAGAATAACAATATCAATAACATAATTAAACTTACCTGATCATGACTAAGATGGTGGTGTATCTCCTGGTCAGCAGCACTGGGGCAGACGATCCTCGGGTGGGTACGTCCCATATACCACTGTAGATACCCATCCTCGGTATCTTCCGGTTTTTGAACAGGTCTCGATATCGAATCCAACTGCACCGAGTGGCAGTGAGGGGCCTTCCAAAGCTCACTCAAGCCGGGACCGTAGGACAAGGAGTACATCTTGACATTCGCAGATCGGCAAACATCAACTGGAGGAAGCGGATCTGAGGGGATGGTCTGTACGTACCCAAACTGACGGAGGCAACGCGAGGGATCGTACATCTCCTCAACACTCATGCACCGAATGACACCAGAGTACAAAGAACGAGAGACCATCTCACCAGGTCTGGGGCCGAATGGGCACCAAAAAACGAACTCATCTGTCATATTATCCAGTACTCGACGATAGTGATCCAACCTCTCATTCATCAACTGTGCCCCACCTCCAATTCTCACCCCCTCCCACTTCTTAGCAAAAGGTTCCCCGCACACCAATCCACGTGTCCCCAACTTCTGATCTCGTAAACACGGGAAGTACTCGTAGATCCAGATCTGAAGGAGGGTCAAACAGCCACCCATGCCTTTGCAATTCGCCCGAGACGCCATGTCGAGTTGCCTATACAAATAGGCGAGTGTAGCAGACCCCCAAGAATATTTCCTCACCCGTCTAGTGTCCCCCAAGAACTGGAGAGGCCAAACCTGCGCCCGATCCCCACTCCTGTCCACAAACAAGGTGGTCCCCAACAAACAGGTCAAGAACATCCGTACCTCAGAATCTCTTTCCCGAAACCTCCCAACCTGCTGCATAGCTTCAACACACACTAAACCCCCACTCTTAAGCGAAGGCTTGGATCGTTCATTCAATTGTTCGACCCTCAGCATCTCACACAACTGTGCTTTCACACTCTCATTCCCTACAACCATATCTTCACCGACTGGAATCCCAAGCAACACTGCAACGTCGTGGAGCGTGATGGTCATCTCTCCAAAAGGCATGTGAAAGGTGTTGGTGTCAGGCTGCCACCTCTCCACAAATGCCACAAGTAAAGGTCCGTCCAAGTGCTGGATCGAGCAGTCCAACAACTTGCGCAACCCTGTCCTCTCAACCAATGCTGCAGCACCCTCACTCTGAAATTTGTAATCTTTCAAATAATTGACTGCCAATGCTCTAGTCGACAACTTGAATGAATCCATTCGGCGAGCCCCTAAACCATCATCCCATAATCGATAAGCCACATGACCTCCAAAACTAGGAATCAGGCTATGATCGATAGGCCCCCCCCGGCCCACTCCTGTCGAGAATCCACGAATCAGCTTCTCTCGCCTTCTTCCTCTTACTAGTGCTGCCCTCCTCCGAATCGGGTCGTGATGACTCAAAACGACCACGAGCCCCACGTCTAACATGAACAAACTGAGAGGACGAAGAAGACACAAAAGGAGCCTCGGGCTCTAATCTAGGTCCACTAGAACCACCTGCACTCGGATGGTTGCTCTCGAAGAAAGCATCATTTACATCCGGGAAGTCATCATAATTGTCATCACTGCCATCATACTCATCCACTCCCTCAAAAGCTGTATCTAAGTCAAAAGGGACGGGAGGCGGGGGAGAAGGATTCTCCACAAGTCTAGCACGTCGACGCTCATTCTCGGCTTCCTCACGACGCGACCTCAATACTATACGGTTGGTCACCCTCGACGGCTCTACCTCCTTCAACTTCTTCTTTCCTCTTGTATCCACCATTTTCTACCTATTAAAATTTGAATTAAAATTATTGTCAGATTATTATCATCATGTAATAGTTATTAGCAATGTTCATATGATAATTGTTAGTTCTCATATAATAAATTTTTATATTCAAATGTTCAAGGTTCGTATATTTGTCTATTATAATTTAACATTCGTATATAATTTCAATTACAATAAAATTCCCATCACAATATAATATTCGAAATTATAATGAATTTCACAATAAATTCTAACTTAATTTTCTTGCTTAAATTGTCTATTATAAATTAACATTCGTATATAATTTCAATTACAATAAAATTCCCATCACAATATAATGTTCAAAATTGTAATGTATTTCACGATGAATTCTAACTTAATTTTCTTGCTTAAATTGTCAATTGCAATTTAAGGTTCGTACAACAATTAATACTTACTATGAAATAAAATTCTATATTTAAATTATTAAACTTTCTTATATTTATCAATTAAAATTTACCTTTCCTATCTAATTTCAATTAAATGAAAACATTAACCGACATAATTTTCGTATATATTAAATATTAACATATTTAAAGAAGATAATTAACATACATAATTTAAATAGATAATTAGAGTAATTAACCTACATTAAATCATAATAATTAAAGCATATAATTAACCTACATAATTAAAGGAGATAATTAGAGTAATTTTTTAAATTATATAATTAACCTACATTAAATCATAATAATTATAATAAATAAATAACCTAAATTTTTTAAAAAAAAATTGACTCGCCGCCGGCGAGTCAAAAGGCCGGTCAACGGCAGTTTGACCGCCGCCGGCGAGGGCGACGTCCTGCCCAGGCGTCGCCGGCGACGGACAAACGTCCGGCCCGGACGTTCGTCCGTCGCCGGCGACGCCTGGGCAGGACGTCGCCCTCGCCGGCGGCGTGTCAAACGACCGGTCAAACGTCCGGCCAGGACGTTCGTCCGTCGCCGGCGACGTCTGGGCAGGACGTCGCCCTTGCCGGCGGAGGGTCAAACGGCCGGTCGTCACCTCCTTCGTGCAAAAATTAAAAATTACCTTCGCGAAGCGCTCTGATTTCGTCTCCGGCGAGAGGTTGTCGTCTCCGGCGAGAGGTGGTCGTCGTATTTGAGAGGAAACCGGCGACAGGAGAGATGGGGCGAGTCACGTCTCCGGCGAGAGCTCGTCGTCGCCGGCGAGAGCTCGTCGTCGCCGGCGAGAATATTTGGGAGGAATCTGGGAGGAATCCGGCGAGGTGAATTGGTAGGGAAGGGAGTGTTTGGTTGGAGTTGTAACAAGTTCAATATTTTAAAAGGAAGGAAGGGTAAAATAGTAATTACATTCTCTTAGGGCTATAAATAAGAAAAAGCTAGGGCTATAAATAGCAATTCAGTTAGGGTATAGGTTATAGAGTCGACTTGTAGGGTATATGGTTAGAGTATATGGTATTAATGGTTTGGCCATGATTAGTCAAATATAAATGCTCCATATATATATATATATATATATATATGCTCCATATATATATATATATATATATATATATATATATATCTTATAAACGCAAATATAATAGTATCTAGCACTACAGAAAAATTGGTCTCTAGTCACGGTAATTTATTCACGGGGATGTTTGTCGTATTAAGAAGTACACTAACAGTCACTAGAAAAAATACAGTAATTAATGGTATAATTTTAGTGACGGGAATTAGTTGATCTATTTTTCAAGTTTCATTTCCCATAACTAATGGTTAATTACCGTTAATTACCGTAAACAATGTGCACTTTACCTTTAAAAAAAACGTTTCCTAAAATCTAAGAGGGAAATCTCAAATTTCCATCCTCCTTTAGTTTTGGCTCCAAGACTAGAGAAAATTTCCCGCTTTTTTTTCAACAAAAATTTGGCCTTCCCCGCATTTTTACCAAAATTTTCGTATAAGGAAAACCATTTGGTTTGAGCTTTGGCTCCAAACTCACCCCAACGGAGAAAATTCTCCCCGCCCTTTATTCCAAAACTTTTGTATTCCCCCATTACTTTGTCTTTGCTACTTTTCTATTACAACAAAAACTAAAACAGAGATAAATCCCGGGTTAATTGCACCGGGTGTCACTTAACTCTTATAATTGTTGCACGTTAACCACTTAACGTAATTTCGTTGCAACTAAACCTTGTAAGTCGTATTATGGGTGCACCGTCACCACTTCCGTCATTAAACGTAACGGCAGGTACTGATACAATAATTTGTCATGCCACGTAAGCGTACATTCTGGGCTTACGGCGGATTCTGATCCCGATTCAATCGGCGGAAAATCAGAGAGAAGCTACGGCGGATGATGGGGAAGGGGAGTCGGCGTTGGCCAACCAAATTCTGGGCTGGTCTATTGGTTCGTCAGAAGGAAAGCTGGAGGCTCGAGTTTCAATCGTCAATGGGGATGGTGGAGTTTTCAGGAGATGATGTCTTTAATTATTTTTATTTTTATATTAATATTTAATTAAGTTAACGGTCCAGTCAGCATTTTCGTTTGCCACGTCATCAAATAACTGACGGAGTTAACGGAGTTAGACGGAGACTAACGGCCGATGACTAATGGTGAAACGATTCGTAAAGTTAGTGACGAATAAGAAAGAAAAGTAATTCGGGTGGCAAATGTGAAATGTTTATGTAATTCAAGTGACCAAACGTGTAATTTAGCCATATTTGTTTTATTGGCACTAATCTTATAATTTCATGCGCATATTAATGTTATAATTCCATACTTATATTAATAGACAAAATATTGTGATTAGTGATTTTATAATTAGCTATAGTAGAATATCGTGATCAATTGTTAATATATAGACATGGGTGAACCAATCAAATAATGTGACTAATGTTTGACATCTAATCATGGGAAATGATTTTGTCACGGCAAATACTGTATAAACAGGTGTACTTCCCGTCTCTAAATGAGATTTTTTGGATGTTGTGTGTGACAAAATTTGGTATTAGTAAAGGGGCTCCCTGTGATTAATTGGTACAAATTATATGTTATCGAGTAAAGTTACAATTGAACTCACAACAATTTTTCTAATTAGTAACGCGATGTTCTAGTCCGTAAAACCCGCAACCCGAACCGCCCAACCCGCAACCCGATTGACCCGCACCCGATTGACCCGCAACCCGATTGGCCTGCAACCCGATTGGCCCGCAACCCGATTGGCCCGTAACCCGATTGACCCGCAACCCGAGTGACCCGTAAAACGAGTAACCCGCAACCCGATCAACCCGAATCCGATGAACCCGCAACCCGATCGACCCGCAACCCGAATGAACCGAACCCCGCCCGATTGACACCTCTACCTATTAGGTAGGGATGGCAATGGGTTCGGGTCGGGGGCGGATAGTGCATATCCGTTACCCTACCCAAAGTACTTCGGGTTTTACCCATACCCATACCCACATGTGAAACGGGTAGAAAATTAAAACCATGCCCATACCCGTTCGGGTTTCGGGTATCCACGGTTATCCATGGATATTAATTTCTCTTCATAACTCCAACCAATATGTTAACATTCACACGTATTCTTATATTAAGTAAGAGAAAAAGTACGACAAGAATTCACTAGAATGAAGAAAATTAACTAAAACAACACAATTTCATGAAAATGTTATATTTATATGCTAAATATAAAATATGTTAGAGAAAAATAATAATTATTTCTAGACAAAATACATATGCATTTGTATAATCGGGCGGGTTCGGGTCGGATAGTGAGAAATCCCTGCCCACCCATTACCCGCAGTATTCGGGTTCGGGTTTTACCCGTACCCACTAAATATCCTTCAGGTTCGGGTTTTACCCTACCTGACTAGGCCGGATTCGGGCGGATATCCACGATTACGGATATTTTTGCCATCCCTCCTACCTATCCGTCACGCAAACCACCGACCCAGTTCGTTGTCCGCTAATAGTTATACCGATCCGTATCGCTTAACCGACGTCTTACCAACCCGACCAACCAAACCCAAACAAAACCCCTCCATACAACGGAACTAGGGTTCTTCATCTCTCCCCGTTTCCGCTCTGAGTTTCTCCAGTAAACTGATTCCGAAACAAAGCCATCATGGTTCGTCCCTGCCAATTCCGTTTATGGTTTGATTTTCCTCGTGATAATACGGTAGTTCGATTTGATTTCTGACGAGTTTGGTTTCTTGTTCCGTGCTCTACAGCCGCAAGGTGATTACATCGAGCTGCACAGGAAGAGGCATGGCTACCGTCTCGACCATTTCGAGCGGAAGCGCAAGAAGGAGGCTCGTGAGGTTCACAAGCACTCCGAACGGGCGCAGAAGTCGCTCGGTATCAAGGGCAAGATGATTGCCAAGAAGAACTATAAGGAGAAGGTTCAAATGAAAAGAACGTAAGTTGAATTGTTCCCCTCTTATTGGAATCTTTCTCTCCGTCTTAGTTGTAAAACTATGTTGATGCTCTTCCTGAATACTTAGGCTATGGCTGGTTTAACGTTTATTTGCAAGGATTCATGTTCTAGGGCAAATATGAGTGGCTGTTGATAAATTGTGAAATGCTATGTAAACCAGTTTTTGTTCTGTGCATTGATCAACTCTTTTGAAGCTCAGTTTGTCTTGTGGTTTCGTCACCACTAAGGTATGGAATATGTTGATATTAGAACCCTTTTCTGGTCGATATCCTGTTTGGTCAGTGTGTGTGAATTAGTCTAAGTTTCTAACTCTGTATTCAGATTGCCAACCTGAGCATGAATTTGGCAACTGGTCTGTCTTTCCAGATTCAATTTTGTCCTGATATGCAGATGTTCTCGTGGCTAAACTTTTGTTTCTTGATAGATTGAAAATGCACGAGGAGTCATCATCTAGGCGTAAGGTTGATGATGAGGTTCAGGAAGGAGCTGTTCCTGCCTATCTGCTGGATCGTGAGAATACAACTCGTGCAAAAGTAAGAAGCATTTTTCCTGTATTGGTTCATGTAAATTCCGCATTTGTGGCTTTCTCTTTTTATTCAAAGTTCTCGTTTCTTGTGTTATGTAGATTCTTAGCAATACCATCAAGCAGAAGAGGAAAGAGAAGGCAGGAAAGTGGGAAGTCCCTCTGCCAAAGGTATCTACTTTGATAGATGTTTTGATTGGCTATGATTATTGCTTCCCTTCTATGCCAGCTATTCTAAACTAGATGTATTGGCTACCTTCAGGTGAGGCCTGTTGCAGAAGATGAGATGTTCAAAGTGCTTAGATCAGGAAAAAGGAAGAGTAAGCCTCGTTGCACTATGTTGTTGCTTTAACTACTATATGCAACTGAACTTTCAGTCGACTGATCATGTACCTCTGTGTAATTTTCTAGCCAAGCAATGGAAAAGAATGGTGACCAAGGCGACATTCGTTGGACCGGGTTTCACAAGAAAGCCTCCAAAGTATGAGCGTTTCATCCGTCCATCTGGATTGCGTTTCACCAAGGCCCATGTTACCCATCCTGAGCTAAAATGCACCTTCAATCTCGAAATCATCGGGGTGAAGAAAAATCCTAATGGGCCCATGTATACATCCCTTGGAGTCATGACCAAGGGAACAATCATTGAGGTAATCTCCCTTCCCTTAAACATGCTTTTTGCTTGTTCTGTATGACTGTTGAAAAGTGTTTCCATGGAGGAATCTAATGGTATGTTGTTCTGAACAACAGGTCAACGTGAGTGAATTAGGTCTTGTTACACCAGGTGGCAAAGTTGTTTGGGGTAAGTGTCCTTGCCATTAGTTATATTGATCCTGGTGTCCATTAGCTGATCCCCCTTCGTTCTGATATGCAGGAAAATATGCCCAAGTGACTAATAACCCTGAGAACGATGGTTGTATAAATGCTGTTCTTCTAGTGTAAGAGAGGATATAAGATACTAGCGAGTAGATGATGGTTGATGCTGCACCATTAAGGGAACTGTTGACGTTTTTCCTTTGCTGCGACTCTCGAGTGCGGAGTCCATTTTGCCTATGTCTATGAAGTGCAGTTTTCCTAACGTGCAGTTGTAGGCGGATTTTGTATCGACAATGCAGTATGCAGTTTTGCGGCCTTTTCATTCTGGTGATTCTCGAGCTTCCTGAATCCTGAGTACTTGTGTAGTTGTGTTTCTTATTTATGTAATCATCTCGACCCCGTTTTCTGAGCAACCTTGGGCATGCATGTTCAAATATGTACAGCAGTGGAAGGTGAATCAAGAGGTCTCTTGTTGGGATTAACGAAAGCAAAGCGGAGTATTTCGTCCCTGTAGCGATGGAGAGCATGGTTGCTGTGGTTGTGTGATGCTAGGCAGCCTGGGCGATTGAATTTCGTGTAACGGTGTCGGTTATGAAACGGCTAGTGCTACGGGAATGATGCGTAATTAATGTCGGTCAAAACCGAGAATTCCGGGTGGGTCAACCGGAATCCTAAATCTAGAAATTAAAAGAAGTGTCCTCGTTTTGTATGACGTTTTGTTGGTTTGCAAATTGCGAGTTGGACTGACTCTACATTTCATTTCGCAGTCGATCGGTAACTCAGCTTTGTCTTTCTTCTTCCTCGTGAACCTTCATTCTAGAGAGATTGGAGGACAAGGCGGGGCGACGCGGTTCGGTAGTCAGCATGTGCGGCAAACTCTGCAATCTGAAGGGACAGTGAGATTGGAAGGCGCGACGAGATTGGCCGCTTTGCCTTTCTACTTCCTCGTAAGCCATAAATCTCATAGAGATTGGTGTAGAGGCAAGCCTTCGCGAGATTCGAGTGAGAGGGGAGGGTAGGGGAGAGGAAATTCCCTCGAGAATTTGTTGTGGGACAAGAGAGAAGTTCTGAGGGTACTTAAATTGGAGAGGGAATTGGGGGAGCGGGCTAGGGAGTGAGTTGGATTTGAGGATTCGAAGGTGAGTCAGAGAAGCATGGTTCGTATCGTATTGGCGGTTCAACCACGAAATACCAGTATTGGAGGCTAAACCGGTAGGTGGTATTTACCGGTATAACGGTTGAATTACGGTTAAACCACGATTTTATCATAAAATACTCTACCGCTGACTTTACCGATACGATCTCCGGTACGATCTCCGGTACGGACCATGCTCTAGTACTGAATGGTAGGGGTGTTCAAATGGTTACCATAGTTATAACCAAACCAAATAAGGCTATATTCCATTAACCATGAAATACAATATCATAACCAATCCGTCCAAACTAATACAACAACCAAATTAACCAAACTAAAGATTAATCGGTTTGGTTAATTGGTTAACCAGATTAACCAATATAAAATCACATTATCATTGACGATGAAAATTTTCCGGTTAATACAACAATTCGCAATTTATATAATGAATAAAACATAACAATCAACACGTAGTTATAGTTGACCCTTAACAAAAATACATGCAACTAAGACAATTATCTTACGATTAGTATAGAAGTATTCACCTAACAAAAATTTATGACAATGGTATGGGTTAATGAATTGTTGTGTTTGTGTAAATTGACTTAGTCTCTTAGCAATTATCATAGGCTCGAAATGACCTTCCTTTCAAGTTTTCATCCATCATAATGTATGAAATTTATCTAAATTAGGCGTCCATATGTTGTGGTCTACATTTTACATATACAAATATACACTATATGAGCAATATTGAGCTTTATATTTTATGAGTCTAAAAGGGATGAACGTTAACTCTTGAGTGGTTATGCAAAGTATTAAGTATGTGTATATAATATATGTTAGATATATGACTAATTACTTAACTGGTTAATTTGGTTTGACTGGTTAGGAGTGTCTGAAACCAAACCAAACCACCTAAACCAAACAAGCTAAAAACTTTAACCAAACCAAACCAAACCAATTATCCAAATTAACCAGATCAAATTATCCAAATAATACTGGTTAAAACGATTACCATGGTAACCAAACCGTTTGAACACCCCTACTGAATGGAGTATTTACTAATGGTTGAGGGCTGACCTGACCGTCAATGTGTTGAAGTGGGGATGGCTCATCTCTGCTGATGATTGAATACAAAGCTGGGCCCATTAAGTGAAAGTCACTCTCAGCCCTCAGGGCATATACCAATTGCATTTGGAGCGGGACAACGTCTTCCCGGCTCCCTCCATTCTCCGTCGGACGGCCAATGGATGAATGGCAAGCTCACTCCTCGAGTCTCTGTTATCCAAATGCACCGCGCTCTCCCACCTCAACCAAATCCAATCCCTTCTCATCACCACCGGCCAATTCAAGTTCCTCAACATCTGCCCACCGCGATCCAAGCTCCTCGAGCTCTACTCATTAACCTTCAACCATCTCAACTTCGCCAGCCGCACTTTCTCCCAAATCCCCAATCCTTCCACCAATGACTGGAATGCCATTCTCCGGGGTCTCATCATCGGGCCCTCACCTTCCGACGCCTTCCTATGGTACCGATCCATGCTCCGCGGTTCCTACAGAATCGACGCCTTAACCTGCTCATTCGTTCTCAAAGCTTGCGCTCGCGTTCTAGCTCTCTCCGACTCGCTCCAGCTCCACTCCCATGTCGTGCGTAAAGGCTTCTCTGCCGATGCTCTGTTGGGTACCACGTTGTTGGATTTGTATGCTAAAGCAGGGGACATCGGGAGCGCACAGAAGGTGTTCGATGAAATGGCAAAGAGAGATATCGCGTCGTGGAACGCGTTAATCTCTGGGTTGGCTCAGGGGGAGAAGCCGGATGAGGCTTTGGGTTTGTTTAAAAGGATTGAGATTGATGGGTTTAAGCCGAACGAGATCACTGTCCTTGGCGGGCTCTCTGCCTGCTCACAGCTGGGCGCTTTTAAAGAAGGGGACAAGATATACGACTATATAAGAAGCGAGAGATTGGATGGGAACGTGCAGGTATGTAACGCAGTGATAGACATGTATGCTAAATGTGGATTTGTCGACAAGGCGTATTCAGTTTTCCAGACAATGAGTTGCGACAAGAGTCTTGTTACTTGGAACACCATGATAATGGCTTTTGCCATGCATGGTGATGGAGATAAGGCTCTTCAGCTTTTCCACCAAATGGGTCCCTCTGTCCGGATGGAACCCGATGAAGTTTCGTACCTTGCAGCTATCTGTGCTTGTAACCATGCCGGGTTAGTGGATGAAGGCTACAAATTATTCACTTCTATGCAGAGCTTGGGGCTAACACCTAACGTGAAACACTATGGCAGTGTGGTTGATTTGTTAGGGCGAGCTGGGCGCCTCCAGCAGGCTTACTATGTCATCGACTCCATGCCGATGCTGCCTGACATGGTTCTCTGGCAGACTTTACTCGGCGCTTGCAAAACTTACAAGAACGTGGACATGGCTGAAATGGTGACTAGGAAACTGGTGGAGATGGGCTCTACTAGCGACGGCAATTTCGTCCTGCTGTCAAACATTTACGCTGCACATGAGAGATGGGCTGATGTGGGGAGGATTAGGGACGTGATGAAGAGCAAGGATGTGAGAAAAACTCCTGGATTTAGCTACATTGAAGAGAAGGGTGTAATTCACAAGTTTTATAATGCCGATAAGGCGCATAAGCACTGTAAGCAGATCCATGGCAAGTTGGAAGAAATCAGGTTCAAGATGAAGGAGTTTGGATATGCAGCTGAGACGAGCTTTGTGTTGCATGATATAGGAGATGAAGAGAAGGAGAATGCGTTGTATCAGCACAGTGAGAAGCTTGCTGTAGCATTTGGGTTGATATGTGCAGAGGATGAAGCGAGACCAATTCAAGTGATCAAGAATCTGAGGATTTGTGGGGATTGTCACGTTGTGATTAAACTCATATCGAAGATGTACAATAGGGAGATTATTGTTAGGGATAGGGTTAGGTTTCATCGGTTTAAAGATGGTACTTGTTCATGTAGGGATTACTGGTGACACTAATTCGCTCTATTTATGTACTACTGTACTAGCAGTCAGCGGCGGATCCAGAACACAGAAGAGCACTGGGCCGCATTTCATTAGAAAATTAGAATCGTAAAAAAATATTATAGTTTTTTTACAATATAAATTGTACACGATGGTATTTTAATTTAGCGAATACATCAATAATGGAATCAACATCCATACCAATAGTATACACTGTTTTAAATAAAATATTTGAGCAATCGGCGAGAAATTCATTGCTCGTTTTGTTGCATAAATAAGTTTTCATATGTTTCATTGTTGAAAAGGTTCTCCCCATAGTAATTGGTGACACGATCAGCGTCAACGCTAGACAAATCAATCGTGCATTGTGTGTCCATACCTATATCCACTAGCTGCTTTAGTAAATTTCCAGGGAATAAAACTCAAATTTCTTATAGTCTTTTACGTTTAGACTTTTAGATTTCATTGTTTTTTTAGAAGAATAATCTTTGGAGGTAGAATTTCTAGGCTAAATTTATAGTAGTGATTTTAATATGTTAATTTGAATCATTTTTCTAGTTACACCCAATTTTTTTGTAAAATAACACTGGGCCGAATAACTAAAATCGAAAAATCCATAAAGACTATACTAATTCCGGATCCAGAGGAGGGCTGGGCCGGGGCCCGGGGTGGCCACCCCCTGGATCCGCCAGTGCTAGCAGTGTTGTTGAAATCCTGAGTCAATTCGACATGATAAAACAGTGATGTCAAAATCCTGAGTCAACTCTACATGATCAAATGGTGATGTCGTAATCCTGAGTCAACTCGACATGATAAAACAATTCAAAACAGTTGGATTAACGATAAATCAAATGCATTACAAGCCCCAGATAATCAATATTCGACTGCAGGAGGCCAGTAACAGCTTCATAAGAAATAAACAGAGAACAGAGGCACACACTGTTTAATTCGATCTTCATAATTCCAGAATCAATCTTATTTCCTCAAACATACGACATGAGAAAGACCAACGCAATTTCAGGAGCTAATGTGCAGTCCTTCTTGACTCTCTATCGGCCCAATATGCGGTTCAACCACCTGGACCAGCCCAGCAGCAAGCCTACTTGTCAAGTCTTCAACATTGACCTTCTCTGCATCCGTCCTGATGCCGATATCAGCAGCATACCTGCTGATACAATAAACCCCCACAGCCATTGCTGCCATACCATAGACATTCGTGGTGACAAGCCGCACAGGAGTAGACAAGACCGCAGCGAGTGGGCCTCCTATATACGACACAGCCTGACCGCTCTGGCCCATTGTGGTCTGATTGATGAAGACGAGAAGACCTGTCTTGCAGTAGATAGCGAAGTCTTCGCAGTTGTTCTTGAACACATTGTAGCATCCGAACCCATTTTCCTCCAGGAGGAACTTCGCACGATGGACAACGACGTCATCTGGGTCAGAGACCGCGCGAGTGCAAGTTCCACCACGAGCTTTTGCAAGGAAGAGAGCAGGGTTGACGACATACTCGAACCGGTACAAGTTGCCGCCGGAGAGGAAGCAGTTAATGCAGGAGAGGATAACTCCATTGTTACCGGCTTTTTCACGTGGAGAGCACATCGGACAAGGGATTAGAGGTGTTTTGGGGGTTGAGCTGACTAGAAGAAAGTCGAGTACGGTTCCAGTTCCAACTTCTTGGCCACGTCTAGTGAAATGTATTACTTTATCATCTCCAATGTAGATACCTGATCGCAATTCAGGGGTAAAAGAACTTAAGATCACAATAAAACCTGGAAAATACTAGATAGACAGTTCCTATGATTCATTAAGCCGAATGTTGTGGGTCATTATTGTGACGAGAGTAACAGTGAAGAGACTAAAACTCAGCATGTAATATACCATCTAAGTATTAGTGATAATTAGATTTTATCTTTATTTCTCTTATTCTTTTATTCTTTTACTCCCACTACTTTTCAGTTCCTGCTTTCATGGGACGTGTATAGCAGTCTGTTGCTATGTGCCCCTGTTTTTACTCTACAGTTTTGTAAATTAGTTCCATCAGATCATTAATGAGAATCAAGTCTGATTTTCACAATCTAAAGAATCAATAGCCTCTTACATGGTATCAGAGCAAGTGACGTTCAACTTGTGATCCAGTTTTTCATCTCCATTCTCGTACAAACACATTGTCTCTGTTCCTCTGTTTTTTTTTCTTTCCTCTGTTCTTCTTTTCGTTGCCTGTTCTTCATCATGTCTGGCTCCGAAGTTTCCAACAGCTCTGCTTCGGCCGAAGCCACACTCATCACTTTCAATCCGGCCGCTCAATTACCTCTGAAGCTGACCTCGACCAACTTCAGTTCGTGGCGCTCGCAATTGGAGACTCTGCTCATGGGTCTCGATCTGATAAGTTTTATTGATGGAAGTGGCGTAGCTCCTGCCCGCACGATCACGGCCGATGCAGTCACCAGTCCAAATCCAGCCTATCATCACTAGTTTCGCCAAGATAAGCTGATCCTACACGCTCTTCGTTGTTCCATCTCTGAATCCCTATATTCATTTGTCTCGGCTGCTGTTACCTCTCGGGAAGCTTGGTTAATTCTCGAGAAACTCTATGCTGGCCGCTCTGGATCGCGTATCATTAATCTTAAAGGGAAGATCTCTAAAATTACAAAGGGGAATCGAGATGTTCTCACTTATGTGAATGATTTGAAACAGACAGCTGCCGAACTTGCTCTTGTTGGAGCGCCCGTGTCTGATCTTGATTTAGTTGTTCATTGTCTTCGTGGGCTGGGTGCTGAATATAATCACTTTTCTGCTGCTGTTCGTGCTCGTGGAACCACGGTTTCCATTGAAGATTTGCTCGATTCACTCGTTGAATACGAGGCAGATCTGCAGGAGCAAGTCAGATCCGCCACCGTGCCCACTGCGTTTTACTCTCAGGCTCCGTCTCGGCGTTCCACAGGCGGAGGCAGTGGTAGCTCCGATGGTGGCGGCGGGTTTCACTCACCCCGTTCCCAGCCCCGAACCCCTCAGGGTTTTTCCAATGGGGCCGCATCTCATCAGTTGGGCGCCTCTCCTCACATGGGCCGCTTCTCTCAACCTGGCCCATCAGTGCCTTCTGAGTCCTCTCGCCCACGTAAGCCCACAACTGTATGTCAATATTGTGAGCGGCCTGGGCACACGGTTCGCCAGTTCTTCAGGCTGTTTCCTCAAGCCCGGCAAGCTTTTCAGCAAGCCCGACAGGGTCAGGTTCATAGTACACATGTGGGCTCCTCCTCGTCTGCTGGGCCTTGGCTTATGGATACGGATGCTTCTCATCATGTGACTTCCGACTTGGGTCACCTTTCTCTTTATTCGGACTATGCGGGCCCTGATGAAATACTAGTCAGGGATGGTTCAGGTTTGGCAATCACTCACATTGGTTCCTCTAATGTCACTCTTGGTTCCACCCAGTTTCTTTTGCGAGACGTTTTGTGTGTTCCATCTATTAAAAAGCATCTCATTTCAGTTGCCAAGTTGTGCCAAACTAATCCAGTCTCTGTGGAATTTTTTGCCACTTATTTTCTTGTGAAGGATCTTCGCACGGGGGCGCACCTGCTGAGGGGGGAAAACAACGGTGATGTTTATGAGCTGCCACGTGAAGTGGAGAATGTTCGCATGGCCCTTGTCACAACACGTACTTCTGCCCCATCCTGGCATGCACGTCTTGGTCATCCCTCACATCAGTCTCTCACTAGTCTCATTCGGTCGTATTCTCTTCCTGTTTCGTCATCTCTTGCCAGTTTCCCTTGTGATGCTTGTCTTTCCAATAAGAGTCATAAACTTCCATTTTCGGTTTCTTCTTTAACAAGTTCCCGCCCATTTGATCTTTTGTACACGGATGTTTGGGGGCCTGCTCCAGTTTGTTCTATCGATGGTTTTGAGTACTATTTGATTATTATTGATCATTTCACCCGCTATACTTGGTATTATCCATTACGTAAAAAATATGATGTTCTCCAAGTATTTCTTGATTTTAGGAAGATGGTCGAAAACTATTTTTCTACCACCATTTGTCGTCTTTACACAGATGGTAGGGGTGAATTTGTCAAACTTCGTTCTGATCTCCTAAATCATGGCATTACTCATCTCCTCACTCCTCCTCACACCCCTGAACATAATGGGCTTGCCGAACGAAAACACCGTCATTTGGTTGAAACTGGTATCACTCTCCTTCATCATGCTAAACTCCCCACCTCGTTTTGGTCGTTTGCTTTTTCCACTGCCATATATCTTATTAATCGTCTCCCATCTTCTGCCTTACGTGGTAACATTCCTTACACACTCCTGTTCAATCTTGATCCCAACTTTCATAAACTTTGCATTTTTGGTTGTTTATGTTATCCTTGGCTTCGTCCATACTCTTCTCACAAGCTTGATCCTCGCTCCCGTCCGTGTATCTTCCTTGGCTATTGCCCTCAACGAAGTGCCTATCGGTGCTTTGATCCTACCACCCATCGCATATTTTTGTCCCGTCATGTTGTTTTTGTGGAGACACAATTTCCAGGTTTTTCTACACCCACTGCCGCCACCTCCTCTGTTGATGCATGGCTTTTGGATCTTTCCCCATCTATTACCACTCTTTCGGCCCGGCCCAACATTGCTCCCCAGCTCACCCGTGCTCCTGATCCCCCTTCGGCTGCTCCTCCTGCGCAAGATTCCTCCGCTGCCGGGCCCTCTTCAGCTTCCTCGCCTGGGCCTCGGCCCACTGCTGCACTGTCCGGGCCCCAGCCCTCCTCTGCTGCCCCGCCTGGGCCTCGGCCCACTGCCACTCTGTCCGGGCCCCTGCCCTCCTCTGCTGCCCCGCCTGGGCCTCGGCCCACTGCTGCACCGCCAGGGCCCCTGCCCCCGTCCACTGCGTTGGCAACGCCCCCTCCTGGGCCGTCCATTAGCTCTAGGCCGCCTCCACCTCCGGCCCGCTCCCACCAGATGCTTACCCGGGCTCAGCACGGTATTTTCCGCCCTAAGAAACGTTTGTTTTTCACTCAAATATCAGCTGCATCCCCTCCCCTTGAGCCTCGGACTGTTACTGAAGCATTGCAATATCCTGAGTGGAACGAAGCTCTTCACCATGAACATGCGGCCCTCCTTGCCAATTATACTTGGGACTTAGTTCCCCGTCTTCCTCACTATCATGTTCTCGGTAATTGGTGGGTTTATCGTGTCAAGCATCATTCTGATGGCTCTATCTCCCGCTTTAAGACACGGCTGGTTGCTAAGGGCTTTCTTCAGCGCCCTGGTCTTGACTTCACTGATACCTATAGCCCGGTTGTGAAGCCTGTCACTGTTCGCACCGTGTTTACCCTGGCTCTCTCTCAGTCCTGGCCTATTGCACAGTTTGATGTTAATAATGCTTTTCTTCAAGGTCCTCTGCAGGAAGAGGTCTACATGGTTCAACCCCCGGGGTTTGTTGACCCCTCTCGTCCTAATCATGTTTGTCGTCTTCGTCAGGCTATCTATGGTCTCCGCCAGGCTCCCCGCGCCTGGTATACTGCTTTGAGCTCCTTCCTCCAGGATTTTGGTTTCACGAAGACCCATTCTGATGCCTCACTTTTTGTCTACTCTCGTGGGAAGGTTCTCCTCTATTTTCTGGTGTATGTTGATGACTTGCTGCTTACGGGCAATGATCCCGCTACTCTAGCTGCCTTCCAGCAGGCTCTCTCTGCCCGATTCTCTCTCAAGGCACTCGGGGACGTTAATTACTTCCTTGGTATAGAGGTTATCCCCACCTCCACTGGTTATGTGCTCTCTCGGCACAAGTACATGGTCGATCTCCTTCACCGCTTTCAAATGAGCGATGCCAAGCCGGTTGCCTCTCCTTTGGCTGCTTCCACCGCTCTCACCCTTGTTGACGGCAGCCCACCCACTGATGCCACTCGTTTTCGTCAGATCATTGGCTCCCTCCAGTATCTCCTCTACACGAGGCCTGACATTGCTTTCTCCGTCAACAAACTCTCTCAATTTATGCATGCTCCCACGACGTCTCACTGGCAGTGTCTTAAACGCCTACTTCGTTATGTCGCTGGCACTCTTCACTTTGGTCTCTCCATACGTCGATCTACTGGTCCTCTTACTCTCTCTGCCTTTGCTGATGCTGACTGGGCTGGGAATCTTGACGATCGGTCTTCCACCTCTGGCTACCTTGTCTACCTCGGCTCTACTCTCATTTCCTGGAGTTCTCAAAAACAACGCACAGTGGCTCGCTCTAGTACAGAGGCTGAATATCGTGCCATTGCTCATGCTACGGCAGAATTGGAGTGGGTGCAGAATCTTCTTCTTGAGCTTCATCACCCGCTGTCGACCGCTCCTACTCTTTACTCGGATAATCTTGGTGCTACTTACTTTAGTTCCAATCCGGTGTTCCACTCTCGCATGAAGCACCTGGCTCTTGACTATCACTTTGTTCGCCAGCTGGTTCAGGCTGGTCGTCTCCATGTCTCCTACATTCCTACGGCCCACCAGCTCGCTGATGCCCTCACCAAACCATTGCCGTCCACTCGCTTCCTTCTTCTTCGAGCCAAGATTGGAGTCGCTGACACCTCCTCCATCTTGCGGGGGCGTATTAGTGATAATTAGATTTTATCTTTATTTCTCTTATTCTTTTATTCTTTTACTCCCACTACTTTTCAGTTCCTGCTTTCATGGGACGTGTATAGCAGTCTGTTGCTATGTGCCCCTGTTTTTACTCTACAGTTTTGTATATTAGTTCCATCAGATCATTAATGAGAATCAAGTCTGATTTTCACAATCTAAAGAATCAATAGCCTCTTACACTAAGATGGCATGGGCAGAAACCACCAACATTGAGAATGGTACCTAGTAAACTACGCCACAGAGACAGAGTTACACAGAAGGGAAGAACACTTTCCCTAAGCTCCTAACAACACTACAAACTACGAGCAGAAGTGCAAATGGAGCACCCAACTAATATGATTAAGAAGCAATGTTGAAATGGATCATACGGATGGATGGGACAGCAGGCGACTGGGCAATGCAACACTAAGTAAGAACAGATGATAGAAGTTTGAATCCGCTAAAGCACCAACGGCCAGCGTATCAGTTGAGCATTGTCTCACTCTCATCGTCACCAAACGAAAAGCAAAACAGAGTAATGAATTGTAAAGCGACCCATGTGAATGAAGTTGCGATGACACGTGCTAAGAATCGGAAGTGTGAAATGAGAGAGCAAGAAGCTATTAGCTAACCGTGATGTGCGTAAACATAAGCAGCCCTCTAGGAATAAATGTGATCCCCTGGTGTCAAAGTGTCCTTAGAGATCCTGTTTGGAGCCATAAATCTCCCGACTTTCAGTTCCAACACAAATCACCGAGAAGCAATGAAACAGAAAGCAAGCATAGAAAAGAAGGCGAAGAGAGAATTTAGAATTCACCTGTTGGAAAGCAGCCCCGTCTCTCTTTTGCTTCTTCTTCTTCTTCTTCTTCCGCCTTGCCAAAGATTTGCATGGAATATTGGCCTTTTCCCTCTCTGGGACTGGAGAGACCGTCGGGGAGTTGAATTGGGGAAAAGGTGGCGGATCGGGAAACGGGGGATTGAATCTTGAGAGTGACACGCTTCACACGCGTCAGTTATGGGTTCTGCTGCCTCCTTCACTTTTTGGCGTCGCAATTCCCCAAGGTCAGGAGGCCCAAACAATTGCCATTGAACCGGCAGGTCCCAATCCCAAATAACGATGAAAGATAGAGAACACTTATTGCGGCCGAGCCCAAGAGAATAGTAAGTTGAGGCCCAGCCGAAAGAAAACTAGTAGCCCAAGATACGTAAGAGCAACTTGGTTGGGCGGGTGTCAATGTCACCACATAACTAGAGGTGGAATATGGTCAGTTTCAGTTTAACCAAAAAATCGAAAATCCGTTTATCGTTTAGCCAAACCACCAGAATCCATCCGACAACTGATCGACAGAGAAGCACGTTTAACAGACCAACAGATCGATTGGTTTCCGGTTTTTGGCTCGATTAGTCATGCAATCGAGATTTTGGCTCTTGTCGCCTGCTGTCGAAGAGAGGCGGACCGGAGGAGAGGCGAATTGCCTCTGCTTCTCTCGATGGTAAGCTACGCGGCGGCGGGGAAGAAGACAGAGCGGTGGTAACAGAGGAACGGCAGAAGGAGGAGGAGCTGCCAGGCTCCGTTTCCTCTGCTGCTCGCGCTTCACTCTCTCGGCCTCTCCACTGCTACACGACGCGAAGGAGGAGGAGCGACGGCGGTCGCCGAGGAAGATCAAGGGCGTAGGTGGATGAATCGCGGCCGGAGGAGGTCCGGGACGATGGCGCGACGCGACATGGGGTGCGCTGAGGAAAGAGTCGGCCATTCAGGTGTTTATTTTAGGGTTTGAAGGAAGATTGGGGGATTTTTTTTCATTTTGATAGGAAGTATGGGGGAGGCCGCTACTACATGTGTTTCGGTGATGGTCGGTTAGCCGGTTATCCACGGTTAGCCACCACCGGTTATGCGGTTAACCGACCATCACACAATCTCCTCCATCCACCAACCGATATCCCCTGCCACTTGGTTTTCGGTTAGCCGTTAAAAATCGATTCTGTCTAACAGTTGATTAAGTGCTAACCGAAAACCAAATGTCTACCCCTACACATAACCATGCAAGAAAACCAAACGCCAAGCCATAACACAAAATGGGTTAAAGCTTTGCGCAAGTTACAATATTCTTATTCTTGTTCAGCAGAAGCGTTAAGCTACGTACCAAAGGCAATTATGGTAATTTTTCTGATTGCAATGTTGATGCAACATGTATGTAATTACTAGACCACTTTCATTGAATTGGTTTGATTTTCCCCTTCTTTCCTAGAGTCGTGATCTTCAAACTAGGTTTCCTCCCTCCGCACAGCTGCGCCGCCCCAAAGTGGCAGATTTTCGTGTTCAAGGAGGGCAAGGCAAGGCGACAGGTAAGGCTACTGGGTTGAATCGACGGGGCGACGGCTAGGCGACTGGCGACGGAGATGACGTTCCCGCGGCTGAGGGCTGAGGGGAAGAAGGCCAATCGTCGGGGATTTCGACAACGGTCGGCTTTTGGTTTTCTGGGTTTCGGCAGCGGCAGCTCGGTCAATCGACTGCGACGACTCTCTTCTTCTAATCGGCCGGAAGAGAAGGGTCTAGCGGTGAAAGCTAAAGCAAGCATCATTTTTATGGATTGAAGGAGTTTTAAAAGCTTGATGCCTTCATCCTTAGTCGCAGGTTTCAGTTTCTGTATACTCTTCCCAATTTGTTGCTTAAGAAAATTCTATCCCTTGTTTCCGGAGAGTTACCGATTACTTTCCTCAACTTTGACCAATTTGAAGTCTTTTCTTCTGGGTTGTAATCTTTTGAATCGACTCTCTTCTTCTTCTAATCGGCCGGAAGAGAAGGGTTTAGCGGTGAGAGAAGAGGATTTTGTTAATTTATTTTGTTGATTTTATTAAATTATTGATATTTTATTAATTTCTATTATCTACCTGGCATTCACATCAGCACTATATGCTGATTCATTAACGGTCAATATAGTTACCGTTTAATTTTATGGAAATTTACGCATCCCATTAAAGTAGTTTATATAATGTATAGTTGAGGTTAGGAAAGAATTTTCTGAAATCACTGATCAAAGTTAATTATTAGGTATAATTCGAACCATAATAAATATTAACCTTGAAATTACTTTGTCCAGTTAAGATTCCACTTGAGAATTTCCTCGCAAGACAACTGATAGGTGTCAATTTTATTTTGGCATTAGAATTATAATATTTATTATTGTTATATGCTACGTTATGTACACGGATGATTATATGTGGCCAAATCCAAAGGCCAGACTCCTAGGCACTGTGGCCTGCGTGACAGAGCAATCATAAGATTATTATTCATTCATATATTGAACTGGATAGAATTATTATATACTGACATTGGCATACCCGAGCACTATCACCTCCATAGAAACGAAAACAAACGAGAGCTGGACACTATAGTTAAGGAAAACACACCAAACTGCTATGGTTTCACCGACGGCAACGCCGGCCAGTTCCTCCCTTCCACCACTTCCCCCAGCAAAACCACCAGAATCTACCTCCACAAACCGCTCTTTTCACTTTCCCCCACTTCTTTCGCCAGCTACTACAGCCCAAGATTTCATGGATGCTACTCCATCTCCTGTTTACCAACCTGCCATACCACTTCTTTAGTACAAGAGGGTTGTGGAACAAGGGACACCATCGCAAGAATGCCAGCATCTCCGGAGATAGTACCAAACGACAAAGACATAACCATTGGCACCCGGGCCAACAAGCTATCTGTTTGTGTCTCCATTCAACTTCAACGCCAAATATGTGCTCCATGGCACCAAACAGTTGTCGTCAACTTACTTGGGTAACCTAACGGCTACCTAAGCCTATGCTCCCACCTGAAATACTTATGGAAGCCTGTGGGAGCTATGCAAATCGTGGATCTTGAATAAGGCTATTTCATGATTAAGTTCTCCAACGCAGCAGACTACACAAAGTCACACAGTGAAGGGTCGTGGACCATCTTTGAACACTATCTTGTGGTGAGGAAATGGACTCCAACCTTTCGGATAACCGAGAAGCTTCCACCATCGTTGATCGTTTGGGTGCGCTTTCCGGCTATGCCAATCCAGTACTACCACACCAGCATCCTCACAGCCATCGGCAACATGATTGGGAAATTAATCAAAATTGATTACCACACGCAATCTGCTCAACGAGGTAAATTCGCCAGAATAGCAATTGAAATAGATGTCTCTATGCCTCTTATCCCAGACTTTTATCTTGATGATTGCAAACAAACGGTGGAGTATGAAAATCTGCCCAATGTTTGTTTTACCGGTGGGAGAATTGGTCATCGAAAAGAGGACTGTCTTGATGATGCACCTGTAATCCCAACAACACCCAACCACTCTGCAACACAACTCCCCCAGAACAACAAAGTCACCTTCCGCTCACTGACAAGCCAAAACACAACACCAAACTGCGACCAAGTGTAATCGCAGTCCGGGAATGCAGTAACAGGCAAGTTTAATTATCAACCCGGGGTCTAGATCTACTGCTTACTCCGTGATTCTCTATTATCTAGCAAACTAGTTCGAGTGATTGTTGTGAAAAGTAAAAGCAACAAGAAAGCAGTAAATTGTTCGGGTTTCTAAAGCAGGTAAGAGTCACTCGGGATTGAGTCCCCCTAGCCCCTTAGTTAGGTTCAATTGCAATTCCCTGGGTTGATTTACTGTTGATTAGACTGCGAAAGATCCGACAGTAGCTTGGAATCTCTTAAGCTGACCAAGCACTCTCAGTCTAACTACCCGGCAGACGACTAGTCTTCACCGAGATAGAAAGCTGAGGCTATGAACACAGAACTCCACTACTGGCGTCAAGAACACCAGTACAAAGCAGTAAACTGGCTAACTCTCGTATAGCCAATCTCCTACTATCGAATGAAGAGGCTCTAACAACCTAATCAGATTCTATCTATCTCAGGTTGCAGCAGAAATTGAGAAAAGCTGATCAGACTCAAATCAATTCATTAAACATGCGTCATTCGATTAAAATCAAACAGTAATATCATCCCAAGTCATTACATTCAAATCCCTAACACAAGGAACTAGGGTTCTTCATACCCAAGTGAGAGAAAGGTTCTACTCCATAGAGAGAGAAGAGAAAACAAGAATCGGATTAGTCATACTCATAACGATGAGGATAATCTACTCCGGAACGATGATTTCCACTCCTATGACGATCTCCAGGCTCGATTCGATGAAATCCAGCTCTAGGACAGCTTCTAGGATGTGTTCTTTGCACTTTCTCTCTCTAGGGCTCTGTTTTTGCTCTGAAAACACGATTCTCCCTCTTCTGGATCGGAATAGGCTCTAAAACAGGCTTTCCCGACTTGCACGGCCAGGGTGCACGGCCGTACACATCACCATTCTGGCCGTGCGAGTCCAAAACGCAGCCGTACCATTTAGTCGGCCTCAGGCTTCTTGCACGGCCAGGTGCACGGCCATGCAGGGATCTCAGCCAGTCCGTGCTCGGCCTCGGCCAGAGGCGCACGGCCATATGGCTCAGGTGCACGGCCGTGCAGCCTCCCTGGTCTGCCCGTGCACTCCCCAAACAGCTCGCCATTCGTCCGTTCTTCGTCCAATCGACCCCAGACTCGCTCCTAAGCCTTCATTCACGTACTAGGACCTGAAATATCACAAACAAGCACAACCTAGCGTGAAATCGGCCTAAAACACGAGAATCAACACCTCAAACGGTGTAAGAACGGGGGTAAAAATATGTGTAAATGACGGTCTATCAAACTCCCCCGCACTTGACCGTTTGCTTGTCCCCAAGCAAACCAAGTCAGACACTAGGTAAGCTTACATATTTCAATCAACCAACATTGGGGACAAGTCATAAAGGCACAGAACACGTGAATCGCACTGGTTTTCAAACATCAATACATGCACAACCTCAATAACAACCTGGACAACCACCACAAAGGACATTCGAGTGCAGCAAATCGAGTACAAGAAGAGTCTCCCTTCTGTTCACTGGCCAACCTAGACTTGATTCAACCACTTACTCAAAACAGTCAACTCATGCATCCAACTCAAGACATCAGAATAGAGACCGAGCAATCTAGGTCCTCACCGGGGTACAAGAGCATATAGAAAATGA